AATAAGACACACGCATATAACGGTTGGGTCATACCTGTCCTTATGTATACCTTTGGCATACTCAGGTGGACTCAGACTGAACTTAACGCCCTGGATAGAAAAGTCCGCACTACCATGACGTCCCATAGGATGCATCATCCGAGATCGTCTGTAATGAGGCTGTACTTGCCGCGAAAGCATGGTGGGCGTGGATTTCTGAGCGCGCTCACTATGCATAATCGTGAAGTGTGCAGCCTCCGTCATTACTTCCTGGCGAGATCGGATGATCCATTCTATAATGACATCATTTCTAGTGATAAAGGGCTTACCCCTCTATCCTTGGCCAACGAGCAATGGCAGGACCCAGCAGTGCTTAGCATTTCCGACCGGGAGACCGTATGGAAGGAGAAGGAGCTCCACGGGAGGTACTACAGGGCTCTACATGAGCCCTTCGTAGATACAGTCGCCTCCCTCAACTGGCTACGTTTCGGTGACCTCTTCGGGGAAACCGAGGGTTTTGTCTGTGCAATACAGGACCAGGTTCTTAAGACCAACAATTATCGGAGATACATCCTAAAGGATGGCACCATCGACGTCTGTCGAGCTTGTCGCCAACCCTCCCCGGGTCACTTAGGCATGTCATCTCCGGTTGTTCGGCGCTTTCTAACTCTGAGTACTTGCACAGGCACAACCTACTAGCCAGAATTCTACACCAGGAGATCGCTCTGTAATACGGTCTCGTGGACCAGAAATTTCCGTATTACAAGTACTTGCCGGAAGCCGTGCTCGAAAATGACCGCGCCAGGCTCTACTGGGACCGGGCAATCATCACAGACAGGACTATTCTTGCAAATAAGCCTGATATTGTGCTGATGGACCGGGCACAGTCAAGGATATTTTTGGTCGACATTACCATTCCGTATGACGAGAACCTCGTGAAAGCCGAAACAGATAAGCGAACAAAATATCTGGACCTGGCTCACGAAGTGACCGACATGTGGGGTGGTATGCCGGCCGAAATTATTCCTGTAGTCGTCTCTGCAAATGGGCTAATCCCAGTTAGCCTCTCGGGTCATCTGAGGCGACTGGGACTCTGTGACGGACCGCTCCGGGCTCAAATGCAGAAGGCGGTGCTCCTCGATGTCGCCCGCATCGTCCGCCGGTTTCTTTCCCTTTCCTTCTAACCCTCGGCCGTTTGATCTCCTCTGCCGAGAGCTTCCATCTGGTTGGGCTTTTATTTATTTATGTATTTTTGTTTTTATTTTAATTTATTGATATTTATGTATATTTACCTTTTCATTTTAATTTATAATTATATATTTATAGAAATCAACCAGATGAGAAAACTATACAGATACCCAGACAATAATAATAATATAGCCATTTATTTCCGAACTTTGGGGTTATATAATATTTGTTTTTGAGTTCCCATACTAGTTAAAGTAAGTCCCTCAGTTCGGTGTGCCTTTTGGCATAGGCCTCCTCCAACTGCTTCCATTGGGTTTGTCTGCTGCTACCCTTGTCCAGTATGGTCCCAAGGTTAGGCGGATATCGTCTTCCCATCTTCGGATTGGGCGGCCCTGTTTTCTGACGCCTTCTCTTGGGTACCATAGGGTTACCTGCTTGCTCCATTTATTGGTCTTGCAACGAATCATGTGACCTGTCCAGCCCCATTTCAGATGGTCGATTCGGGTCAAAATGTCAGCAACCTTGGTTTTATTTCTTATTTCCTTGTTGTTAATTCTATCCTTGAGTTTTATTCCCAACATACTCCTCTCCATTGCTCGTTGACATTTCGCAAGTTTCTCCCGGTGGTTTTGGTTGAGGGACCACGTCTCACAACCATATGTGATGCAGGGGAGAATACAGGTGTTAAATGTTTTCTTCTTGATAGAGATGCTTAGCTCTTTACTTTTCATTATTTCTCTCAGAGACCAGTATTTTTTCCAACCACTAGCAATCCTTTTGTTAATTTCCTTAGCTCAGCGGGCATCTGTCGCGCGTCAGTCCCGACTTGGCTGATAGCCAGTTTGGATTCCGACAGGAGCGTTCTACAGTAGATGCAATCATGCGCGTCCACTCCCTGTCAGAACAGGTAGTATCCCGTAGTGTTGGCGATAAGTCTCAATATCGTCAACGCCTTTAATTCTGTATGCTGGGACGCAAACAGGAACGCACTGCTATACCATCCACTCCCTGCTACTCCACCCCCTAGCTGCAAGGTGTACATGGGGCAAAATAGTAGGAAGATTAGGAGGGAGATCAGACGTGGGGTTCCGCAAGACTCGGTGCTGGGGCCGCTACTGTGGAACCTCGCCTATGATGCGGTTCTGCGAGTTGATCTGGCGTAGATATCGTTTGCTGTGCCGACGACGCGTCGGTGGTTTCTAGCGGCGTCACCTTCGAGAGGGCCAAGGAGCTCGCCGAGCTTGGGGCGGTAGTCGTCGTCGCCAAAATCCACGAGTTGGGTTTAGATATAGCGCGTCACAAGACCGAAGCCCTATGGTTCCATTAATTACGACGTGGCAGGGAACCACTCGACTCGTGCATCCGCGTGGGTGGGTCTGAAGTCTAGAGTGGGGCGGTACATGAAGTACCTAGGCCTCCACCTGGACAGTCGTTGGGGCTTCGAAGAACACTTTGGGCGCTTAGTTCCCGGATTGAAAGGGTAGCAGATGCTATGCATAGACTGCTGCCCAATCTAGGGGGACCAAGGGAAGAAGTGCATCGCCTCTATGCAGAAGTAATACGATCTGTAGCCTTGTACGGGGCGCCTGTTTAGGCGAAAAGGCTGGCCATCCGACGCTATAAAACTAAAATCTATTGTGTAGCGGAGGATGGCCATAAGGATTGTGCGATATCCTCTGAGGCGGCGACAGTCCTGGCTCGCTTTCCACTTCTTGACATACTGGCGGACATGGATGCGAGGGTGTACGACCGGACACGTGTCCTCTGCCAGAGCGGTGGGAGTGAGCCAGATGAGGTGTTCAAAGGAGTTAAGCGGCAGGAACGGCTTAACGCATTTGCAACGTGGCGCACTGATCTCTGTGAAGAGCGTTTGTGCGCGCAAACGCGTTGTTGAAGCAATCCTGCCGCACTTCGAAGCCTGGATGCAGCGACGAGCAGGAAGATTCACCTATAAACTAACAAGGCCTGGGTGCTTCAGTGAGTTCAGTGTTTATTATTTGTGTAAGATCGGACATGAAGCAACGGCGAACTGTTTCCACTGCGGTGGGCAGGACCACGATTTCGCATCGCATCCATACGCTGGCAACATGTCTAACATAGGAGCGGAAGTGAACAGTCCTGGTAAGCCGGATCGGTCAGAACCTCTCCCTGCCAGCAGTCGGGTCGGATGCTGAGCAGGGACTCGGCGGAAAGGGCCGTAGCCACCTTCTGTCAATCCGTTATGGTTCAGAAAGAGGCTGCTGAGCGGGATCGGGAGAGGACAGATCCTGCTCGGAGATGATGTCGACAAGGCGTTCGTCACGGTGGTCCTCTTATAAATGGGACACCATTACACACCCTACCAGAAACGGGGCCTCTGGGGTTGCAGACGTTCAGGGTGGGGGCTCCGAATGCCTAGAGATGTAACCCACAAAGAGGACGATGTATCGGAAGTGGTCCCAAGACATCGTGATAATACTGCGAGGGTGCTGGGGGCAGAAAGAACTGCCCTCGGGACAAGATTTCAATAAAGCATGTCTCGAAAAAGTGCCTCGGTGGCGTTCAAAGATCCTGGGACCCCTCATATATTATACGCTGTTGGTGAACACCGTGGGGTTTTGGCCGGTAATTCCGGCATAACTCTTCTGTTGTCCCCGCAGCAGAAGATATCCATGTGGGAAAAACCACGATAAAGGTCGATATTAGCTTAAACAGGACCCTACTTGGGCTTCTTGGGCGGTTGGCCATCTTCAATTTAAAGTGACGTCATTTCATTTTTCGTATTCTTCGCAGCAAACTCTTTCATTCAATACCCATATCATGGGAGTGTATAAAAAATGAGTAGTCCACCATCTTGGATTGTTCGCCATATTGGATTTAATAATGGATTTAGAACAAAGAAAATCGTATCTAAATGGTTCAAACCGTTTTGGAGATATATGTGCTAACATTAGTAAACACAAAAAATGTTCATTGCAGGGATAGCAGGGAGGGCATAGGAAAGGGATGTCCTAGGCGAAAATTTATCGACCAAATTGGCGATTTATTGAAAACGGGCCAAATTAGTACCCTTAACCGACGAGCATGTATGCGTAGGTGTATGGATGTGAAGGAAGGCGAGAGAGGTGTGTCAGGATCGTGCCAAATGGAGGTATGTAGTCTCTGCCTACCCCTCTGGGTGACAGGCGTGAGTGTTTATGTATGTATATGAAATAACGATATTATACGTCTTTTATTTGAACCAGACTCTCGACAAGAAGCCCAGAGCCTGTTGTCGGTTTTTTCGTCCGCTTTAATGGAGTTCTCGGACGAGAAAACAGAACCGTATCACACTTTTATTCGGTCTCTGTGTGATAAAAACGTTGGTTCAGACTTGTTATACTGGTTGGTTTTGACACCAGCGATAATATCGTGTGAGTCCACACGCATTCACGAGATACTTTTCGGCTTGAAGCTGACGGGCCTATGTAATAATTTTAATAATCGATTCAACAGAGAAGTTTCACTCCTTCCATATGAGTTTTCTAGTGACACCAACGAGCTTGGGAAATTCCCATTCACATCTACGACAAAGAGCAAATAAGAAGCATTCATAGTTACTGTCATGGGAAACAGTGACAAATCCAAAATAAATGGATTTTAGGTGGTCACCATTGTGTAAGGATTCCGAGTACTCAGCAGGCTATTTGTTGAATTCCTACACAAGCTAACAGCTACAGCAAGCGGTTGTGTAAGCCTAGTGTTGCCCGGCGTACCGCTATCCCTGCTATTATCATTCAAAATAAAATGAATATCACTTAACAAAGTCAAAAATATTCCAGTTCGAGCCGGGAAATTAATTAAAATCGAAATACCTTGATAATGTGTTTGTTTATGGTTCGCTAACTGGTACTCTATGATTATGTTGAATATTCCTTTAGCGTTGCTGGTGAGGGATTGATACACGCTCTTCAATGAGGACAACTGCAGCGCGCCACTTCGGTGTGTCATCAGTGAATTCTCAAACGAAGTCTCCTCTATGTATGGCAAGAAGGTGGTCACATCCCACCATGTGAAATTAAATTTGCTCAGTTTTGAATGGTCCCATACTGAAAAGGTAAACCCAATAATTACAATAACAAAAAATAATACGGTATTTTTTATAAGACGCAAGCAAGAAAAATCTCGTCTCCGGTTGAAGGCAAAATACCTACCCATCCCCTGTAAATACACCGTAATTATAGTGGCACGTTGTAACGAAGTATTACACCGCAAATATCATCCGATGGATATTGTGAGTCGACAAAGAATATCCTACACTAATACTATCCTGTGGCAACCAACCAAAATATATAGTAGTATAACCATTTCACTTATTAACAAGAAAATAATGTCCTGATGCGGGAGGGGTATCCCACCATTCCCTCGTTCATGTTTTGTATAGTTATCATTTGTAAAATAAATGATTGCACTAACTGCCTCCCAAGCCTTATTTAATATTTTAAAATAAGTAAACATACACGATAAAATTCGTCAGACTTACTTTCATTCAAATGTCTTGTGTTTGTGTAAACATACTTAAGTAATCATTACTTACATAATATTACTCATAGGACAAATGTAATGTATTAATTTAACATTTATTATTAAGCAATTACAGTATATTCACAGCAGATGGAAAATTATTTTTCATTGCAATATTATTATTTTTTTAATTTGATTGAAATTGAAAGTCTTTTTAGGTTAATTTTACGAAATATAGAACGAGCAAGGTCTGGCCATTTTACTTTTGACCTAAGTAAGATGATTATACTGCCATCTGCTGGTAGCCATGAGATCTACTGGCATTTCCTATTGTCATCTCTTACAACAGGACAATGGGGGGGGGGGGGGGTGGAGTGAATCTATATTCAATCAGAACCACTTAAAATTATAATATATATAAATAGCAAATTAAGTGCTGATTTACTATGTTGTTAAGGGATGAAAGCAAACAACGTGCGGAAACCATTCTCAAGAAATTTAAAATATTTGAAGAATATGTGTGTTTGCCAATTTAATAGGATCTTTTTTGCTCCAGAAACCTTTCGGAGGTGAGAGGTTTGTGCCCAGTGTGTAAAACATAACATGGTAGAGTCAAGTCGCATCATAATACTGCTGTGTATTGCAAAATCAGTATAGAATACCGGAAAACCTTTTTTTACTGGAAACAGCAATTTTATTATCAGGGATGGCATTGCATCAATAACTTGATTCTTTATTGATGATAGATATAGGTGTTATGGGCCACAGCACCTACTTACCATCAGGTGGATTGTGTGCTCGTTTGCCAACCTGACTTTTATAAACCCCGGCCACATACTAGTCAAGTGGCATGGGAAGTAGCGAGGAAAGGAGGCAGAGACGTAGTGTGGTCACAAAACTAGTCATACCGCACAATATGCTCCTCGTCATGTCCATCGCTCCCTGTTTTGTCAGTTTTTGGGTGCAAGTCAAAGAACAGACAATATGAGCGTGACTGGCTTACCACATAATAAATTATAAATAGTGTACCTATCATCATCATTCTATATTATCCCACAAGTAAGTAATATACAGAGAAAAGGTTATCTTGACGACAACGACGTATATTTCTTTTATGACATTGATTAAATCAGCTATAATAAATATGCATAGCTCGCCCGCTGCATTAGTTACAATATCCATTGTGCTGCAAACGCGAGCGACCTAGTGAGGAGCGTCGCGAGTAATTGCGCGAGTAGAGCAGTGTGTGGCCGAGTCATGAAAAGGTTATAATTTTATTTTACCAATACAATACAAGATTTAAATATAAATGAGAAATCTAATACTTACAAAGTGGCGCGTTAATGTGATCGATAGTCGCAATAGTATGGACATTTTTCAGTCGAGATAAGCTTGCCAAAACCGACTGGGCTTTAACGTTCCGTAACATTGCACCGTCAATATTGTGTATTATAAGAAATAAATCGACTCCATTCTCCGATAGTTGAGAATCTATTAAATTCACCGTATCGCCTACGTTTGAAGGCACACGTGTATTCTCCAAAAGGTCAATGACGATTGCTTCCAAAATACTTTTGACTGTTAGACTTGGAAAGAAACCATTTACAACAATGCAGGGTAAATCCTTCAGTTTTTGTACTTGAAATTGGTATAAAACTGAACGCTTTGAGCCAATACCGTAGAGGATTATATTGAAGTTTTCACTCAAAACATACAACCACCTGTTAAATAATTGTTCATAAGATTGTAGCAATTCGACTATTTTGTTTTTGTGTTCATCTGAGACGTAAGTTTCTGCGTCTTTTTCGTCATTCAGGTTCATGTTCTTTAATCTTGCGAGAGTGTGATCGGATGTGGTTATCTAAAATTAAGAATAATTATTATTCACTCGTTATGTTTAAAACCATGCGTCAAGTCAGCATGTCAGCCCGAGATATAATGTTTCATACATGTATATTGTACCAGATTTTATAATGGTTTGGTGAGTGGCAGCCTCGTACCGGTAGGCGTAGTGTAGCGCGACCCCCCACTAGATGGAGTGACGACCTGGTAAGATATGCAGGAAGTCGATGGATGCAGGTGGCTCAAGACCGTGCTTTGTGGCATTACTTGGGGGAGGCCTATGTTCAGCAGTGGGCTTGTGAAGGGCTGTAATGATGATGATGATTATAATGGTTTCAGTGAAAAATATGGAAAACCTTATCACGCCATTTCAATTATATTACACTAGCTGGATCCCGGCGTATTGCTGCCGTAGATGAAATAATTGTGAAAATATCGTTTTAAATTTCAATAAGTAGTGACGATACTTTCATTTGAAGTTGAACGATATATAACTTTCAAATAAATTTTTCTGGGCGACACGCGCGCCATCTATTGTAAATTAATTGTACTATGCCTATAACCTTCATGCAAGATTTTTTTTCTTTTTACTGGATACGGGGCATTCGATCTTAGTCCTCAATGGTGACAATGCATGATCATATTAATTCTTAATCAAAGATAGATGTAGATGTATAAGAGTCACAGCAACCACTTACAAGCAGGCTTACTCACTTGTCACCCTTATTCTAAAAATCTTTTGTCCTTTCATCTGATTGTATATAAATATGACTTTTAATTGTACAGGTTCACCAAAGCAAATTAAAAATAAAGCGTCAGAGTACAGCACGGTCTCTAAGGCTAATAAAGAAAACATCCAAGAAAAACTAATTAAATCTACAGTCTCGTTGTAATTTCAGTTCCAATAGGCTATTGTAAGATCTAGAATACAATAATACTATGACATGGTATGATAACAGACCTCAATTCTGTAAATATTAACGAAACGTTTGCGATAAAATAGCGCTCTACATTCCCTGAAACTATAACTGATAAGACTTTCGTGGCAGAAACAAGCAATACATTCTCAGAAACTACAAGCAATAACACTTTTCTGATTAAGCAACCAGATATAGTAGCAATAGTTTTAAACTCTCACGAAAACATAGATACACCTGCAATGGTGGTCACATATTTAGATCAGGATCAAGAGTCGGAAGTTCTAATGAACATAGAATTTCCAATTCCTCAAGAACAAGCATCACAAGCAGTACACTACTCAATATTAACTGAGTAAGAATAAATTATGCCAATGAAAATCGATCCTATTGTTAATACTTACTAACAACAGATCTGGGAATGCTGAAATAACATCAATTCCTTACACTTCCAACAGGACTGTTTGAGGAAGACTTATATGCCAAAAAAAAACTAGCTTCATTCAGAGCAAAGAAATAGCATGTTATAAAGTGGTGGTCACATAATTAAGAACGCTGATATAAAGGGAAGATTTTTTCAAACTAAGACGCAAAATTAATTTTGCATGCAATTTTTTTTATTTCTCTCGGTATCGTAAAATTTAATTGCGAGCAGCTATGCAGGTCTAGGGAAAGAGACCAGTATCACTGCGACCTAGAAGATCTATTGTGATCGCTGCTATGGCTATAGTTCACGGCTAAGCCCTATGTCTTCAATGAATAGAAGGAGTTGCTTAGCTGTGAGCAATTTCACTTCTTCGGGGCGGAGTACACAGTTCCCCACATGAGTGTTACGTTTGTCCATTAAGGGCCCCCAATCAGTTAGGATGTGTAGAGACGTTTCTTCCATTATGGAACAGAACCGGCACATCCTTGAGTTACTTAGTCCCAGGATATGCATACATGTGCTTTTTAAGACAACGGTGTCCAGTTAGGTCTCTTGCCAGAATGCGCAATTTATTTTACTTAATCCCAGAGCTTCTGAAGCGAATTTACGATCAAAAGCCCAGCTTAAGGTTTTAGAATGTTTTAAGCCTCGTATGTCAGACCAGATCTTAAGTGATTTATTGTGATAAAGAGTTTCAAGTGTCAATCTGGCTAAGTTTCTTGAGATTCCACAAAATGGGTCGGGTCCAAATTGTGTGCACTTTGAGCCCTCCCGTGCAAGTTTGTCGGCAAATTCGTTGCCTACAATACCCTCGTGACTCGTTACCCATCTTAAAATGACCCTGTTGTTACATCCCAGGGCGTTTAAACGGTTCACACAGTCTCCAACTAACTTCGAGTTCACTAAGTTTAACTTCAGCGCTAGCAGTGCTGCTTGACTATCAGAGTTTATGTAAATTATATGGTTCATGTAGTGTTTTTGCGGATTGATTTCCGCACACCGAAGTATGGCGAAAATGTCTGCCTGGAAGATAGAGGTGTATCTACCCAAATTCATGCTTAGTTTGAATTTGGGGCGTTCCCCGTAAATTCCAAAGCCTACGTCGAGGCCCATTTTAGACCCATCGGTATACCATATGAGGCTACCGACCTCACAGATAACCTGGCCATTTAGCCAGTCTTCTCTGGAGGGTAATACCACTACATACTTTTTATCAAAAGTGTGTAGTGGACGCATGATACCTGAGATCATGCATAAGACCGGTGATTCCTTAATTGAGTCGAGCATGGATCTCAATCTGTAGGAGAGCAAGCTCAGACCGCCCTGGGCGTTAATCCTATAAAAACTAGCCCTCGTATGCCTAAATAGAAATACTTTTTACACTACTTCTAAACATAGTATTCCTATTTACTGGCTGGTAACGTAATTAAGAACGCTAAATAGTTTATACCTTTATTCAAATTTAAATAGAGAGCACTCAGTCGATTTGTTACTGTTAGTATAATTTTGGCGTCATTTAGTGCTGTAAAAGATTTAAAGTGATTTCTTCTTATGAAAATACAATGGGGGAAAAAATAAATGTTGTGATAAATCTATGAGGGAAGTAATAATAAAACTTCGCCGGAAGAATTGGTCTTATAAAAAGATAGCCTACCATCTGCAATGTTCAAAAACGATGGTTTCTACGCTGTAAAGCATTTTGCTACGTATCAAACTACTTCGAATGTTCCACGTGTAAACGAGGTGGCACAATCAGATGTTATATTTTAATTTGCGATTTCGAATTTTTAGAATGTTGATTTTAAGTCATTTTTAGGTTAGATATATTTTCAGGTTATATATTTTCTTAGATTAGCTATAATGAACCGAATAATTTTCTTTTAGCCTCACAACTACCAAGCTACCGAACACCGAACTCAGTCGCGGCGATATTCCGTCAAATCCCAAGTGACCGAATTCGGTCGCACTCACCCACAGCACTATAACCCATAAATACTTATGGTTAGAGACTACTTTTCTATGAAGAAGTTTGGAATTATAGGCTCAATATGAAATGATCTATCCTCTAGTGCAATAAAAAATCAGTTAGTCTATGGATATTTATTTATAATCCACGTTCATTTCGTACGCCATTTTGGTGTGAATGTTATTGTGTTGATTTTTCTAGTGTTTTATTACTGTTTTAGTATAGTGTTTTATTATAAATATATTTATTTATAATCCACGTTTATTTCTTACGCCATTTTGGTGTGAATGTTATGGTGTTGATTTTTCTAGTGTTTTATTACTGTTTTAGCATAGTGTTTTATTATAAAATTGTAATGGAAGTTTTTGTGTGAATATAATTTATATTTTTACGTATGCGACATGCGACGTATACGACATGCGCTTGGTATGTACATTTTTGTTATTAAAATACAATAAAATCTTTTTGTAATGAAGTAAAACCACTAAAACAAGTAATATAACATAATAAATAAACAGAAACAAGTATTATATTGAATTTTATAATGAATTTTATTGAAAATAAATGTACAACAAATTCCATTTAAAGAAATTATTTAGGTTATTATTAGCAACGCCGCGTCACGCGAAGCGAGCTAGTGGTGTCAATAGTTTTAGCTTGGGATTGAGGGGTTAATTAATAAATATTTCGAAAACGACCTATTCTATTATTTCAAAATAATTTTGGTGAATACGATATGTACAGATCACAGATCAAATAAAACAATTACCTAGTAGAAAAATAACTCCTTCATGTGACAAAAATCACTTGGAGCATATTTACGGCGCAAAACTAATCAGTTAGGTGCCCAGATTAAAAAAAAATCTAGCACTTAGAGTATAACCGTAAAAAGCGAAAAAATAACATATAGTAAATTTGTACGAAGTCGAATTTTGTACATTACCAGATTTTACAATGTTATGGGTCGTTTGCAAAATAAATAGTTTTTTTGCTTTCCCTGAAAAGTTGGGTTTTTACATAGCGGATTTAGCATGCGCAACGACGATATACAAGATTTTTGGTAACTTTTTCAAGGCACCGAAAATCGATAATTTGTAATTTTCAGATTTTTTCCTTTCAGATGATCTACCTTAATGCCAAATTTAAAGTTTATAAGTAATCTAGAAGTGGCCTAGATGTTAAATAAGTGTGTCCGTATGTGATAAAAATGGCACTTCTCAGACCTTAATAACTCGAAAAATAAGATTCAAGGTATAAAAATGTCCTTATTGGGTATACAAAATAATAAGTATGTAGGTTAGCCCTAATAGTTAGTAATAGTTTTTGAGTAATGTATTCAAAAGTGGCTTGAAATACATACTGCCTGTGTGTCACCATTTTCTTTTTCGAACACTTCTTAAGCTATACCAGCTTTTCAAACAACAACCCTCACAAGCACTTCATTTGTATCCATGTAGTCACAGAGTGTGGAATAAGCTGCCAGAGAACGTAGTCTCAAACCAAAACGTGAACCAATTCAAAAATAGATTGGATTATCATTTTCTGAACACAACAGAACAGGATACATACTGTTTCTGGGCACAACAGGATACACACATAAAGACATTATCAGTTGTCTTAACTGCCTGCCTGCTAATATACAATATACAGAGTGTTAGTGTAAACACCGTTATCCTTGAAACCAGTAGTTTGGTTTCACTTATAGAACG